GTTCCTTGTGTTCTGTCTATAAATGGGGATCTAGACCAAGGCGTGCTGGCCTACCTCTACGATTCTTTCCAGCTGACAGAGAATTCCTTTACAAGAAAGAAAAATCTTCATAGAAAGGTAATTTGATATTTCAGAGATGGATTTGGGGAACAAAAAATATGACATTTTTTTCCCTTTTTTTTTGTTAGCATGCTTGGTTTCTAACATAAACTCTGAATAATAAATTTCTTTTAGTGCATGTAGTTTAAGTATTTTTCATTTTTTTAGAATCCAGCAACAGGAATAATAATAAGGTTCTCCTAGTACTCTGGGAGGCCGAGGCAGGAGGATCTCTTGAGCTTGGGAGTTTAAGAGCACAAGTGGAGGGAGTTGTCCGAAAACAGTGTTATTTGAAATAGGGAGAAAAATGGCTGATGTAGCTATAAACGGGCTCCTAGGGCTGGTTAGCCGTTGACAGATGTTTTACTCGCACCCTGTGTTTTCTCAGGGAAGGCAAGTGTACTAGTTTAAAATGTGGAGGAGTAGGGGTTTAAGTGGCAAGAGTGTGGAATACTCATGTTCCCCTTGAACATAAAAGGAAGCTGCCCCAAATCAAAAGTTTTAACAAGTAATGTTGAGTTGTGAGTGCTCAACTGAGAATGGGAACTATGAGTTTGTGACACCACTCTGCTCAGGCAGGCGATCCTCCTACCTCAAGCTCCTGAGTAGCTGGGACTACGGGAGTGTGCCACCACGCCCAGTTAATTTTTTAATTTTGCTAATGTTGTTCAGGCTGATCTTCGACTCCTGACTCAAGTGATTTTCCTGCCTCAGCCTCCAGAAGTGCTGGGATTACAGGAATAAGCCACAGTGTCTGGCCCCCTTCTTTTTCTTATACCCACATGCAAACCATCAGCAAATCCTGTTTGACTTTAACTTCAAAATATATTCTGGATCTGACCACTTCCTACCCGCTCCAGCCTCCAATGCTGGCACCCGAACTCAGCCACCATCATCTCTGCCTGCCCCCCGGAGTGGCCCTGTTAAAAGGCACTTGTTATGTTGTTCTTCTGCCCAGAACACTCCAGGAAGTTCTTCATCTCACTTAGAGGAAAGACCAAAGCCCTTTCCTTTTTGACCTGCTACTACTCTCCACTCAGTCTGCCCAACAGCAGTGACCTCCTTGCCGTTTCTGGAACATGCCAGGGATGCTTCCAGCTCAGAGCCTTGTCATTTGTTCTCCCCTTTGTGCAAAATGCTCTTTCTCCATCATCTACATGTCTTATTCCCCCACCTCCTTTCAAGCCTTTGCTCAAGTGTCACCTCAGGGAGAGGACCTCTGACCACCTTAGTTAACATTGATGAAAGCCCTCTACCAACCTGCCCCCGGCAAGCACTTCCCATCTTCTCCCCTTTTTTTAGCACTTACCACCTTCACATATATTATTTCCTTACTTACTTTGTTTATTATCTGTTTGTACCTCCATGTGGGACAGAGACTTTTGCCTCAGCGCCTAGAACTTTTCCTGGCATTGCACACCCATTGACATGTTTGCTGGGTGGATGGATAAATGGGAAGAGTGTAGGTTTTGGCAAGAGAGAGAAAGTCCAGGTGACAGGCCACGTGTCCCGGGCTGGGCAGAGTTGGAAGTAATGCCAGGAGAGACATTTCAACTGAGGGAAAACAGAGTTGTCAGAAAATGGGAGAGTCTTGAGTTAATTTATTTCAGCAGAACATCTAAGTGGACAAATCCATGGGCAGCTGATTACATCCTTACATAGTGTTTTATGACCTCAGCTAACTTCCATTTTCACACAGGAAATTTAACTGCTTAAGAAACTCTGTGTGTGTTATACTTGTGTTGTATTTAAACAAAATGTGCTTTTTCCCCCTTTTCCTGTCCTCCCCCTCCCCACTTTAATTGTCTTAGGTACTTAAACTCCACCCTTGTCTAGCCCCTGTTAAGGTTGCTTTGGATGTGGGAAGAGGCCCAACAGGGGAACTGAGACAGGTGGGTTAAAGAGTTTAAATGTGTGATTTTAATTACAGAGTATTCATTATCTGAAATGCTTGGAACCCAAAGTGTTTCGGATTTTGGATTTTTTGGACTTTGGAATATTTGAAGAATACATACTGATTGAGCACCCCTAATTTGAAAACCCCAAATCTGAAATGTTCCAATGAGCATTTCCTTTGAGCTCAAAAAGTTTCAGATTGTAGAGCATTTTGGATTTTGGATTTTCAGGTTAGGGATGCTCGACCTGCATAACCATTACTCCAAGTTACCTTGGGAGCTTGCTATTTCAAATTTGATTTTGATTCACTTGCTTTTAAAAATGTTCTAAATAATGAACTGTGGATAAATACCGTGGTTAATTATAGATAATTAGAAGTATAGTGTATTAAAGATGCTGACTTCAATTTGATGGGTTCTGCTGTTAAAGTTATGCCCACTCATTTTTTACTGAGTTTACATAGTTTTAGTAATTACAGTATTTGTACAGATGTCAAGTGAATTATTTCTTTCTCCTTTCCCTTTTAACTTAACACTTTGGTATAAGCAAATGTCCTAGGTCTATAATTTTCTTTTGATTTTTCTAATCCGTTCTAATTATTAAATACTCTTGAGAAAAGCCTAGGAGGAGGTTTTTATTTCTTTCCATAGATTCCTTCGGCAGTCATCATTTCTGTCTGGGTGACTCAGACCTATCCAGGAGCAGATAGAAAAGATAATGGCTTATTTCTGCATTTCTCCCCAGGGTGTGGCACTCTCCCCAGCACCCTCGTAGCAAGCAAGTTCCTCATGCCCCACTACCCTCCTCTCTTACCAGGGACATCTGGTAATGTCTGAGGACATTTTTGTTTGTCACAAGAGGGTGGAGAGTGCTACAGGCATCTGGTGGAGGCCAGGGGTGCTGCTAAACAATCCTGCTCTAGAGTCATAGTTCCTGTTAAGGGGGGTTTTAAATTTTGGTGTTTTTTTGTTTGTTTGTTTTTTGCTTCACTATTGCTTTGAAGAAAACAATAAAGTTTACTATGTCATTTATTCATTAGTACTTCTATATTTCCAGTCAGGCTTTTGTTTCTGGCATTCTACTGAAACTAGTCATTCTCTTCTGGAAACATTTTCCATAGCTGGAAAACCACTCTCCTGGTTTTCCACGTACCTTTTTCTTGCCTGGCTCTTCAGTCTCTGCCTGACATAGTAGTGTAACCTCAGTGCTCAGGTCTCGCCTCTCAGATGAGTTTTGAGTTAACCTAGCCCTTTGGGGTTGGTTTGGTTTGGTTTTGAATGATGATGATAATAAAAATTCTGTTTCATATAATAATGTCTCCCAGAACATTCGCATTTAGTATTCAGCTTTGCAGTACTTAATTTCTTCATTTTCAGAGGAAGCATATAACTTAGTAAGTATATAACATATAAATTATAAACATTAAAATCACATAATTAAAGGAATGTATACCCATTTTAATTGGTCCATTACCCATTTTAGAGACTGAAGATGGTAATTTGTGGCTTCACAAAAATTGAATAATCTAGCTACTTTTATGGCTTTCATATTTGAAGTTTTTATATTTTTCTCCAGGTTTGTCAAGGGGTATTTAATGAATTACTAGAAAATGGGATTTCTGTGTGGCCTGGTTATTTGGAAACTGTACCATCCTCATTGGAACAGCTTTATTCAAGGTAAGAATTACCTTCCTTGTCATTAAAGAATGTATTTATTCAGAGTTTTTGATTGTATGTTTCTTTATGATAATAGAAATCTCTTCTAAATATATATAAAATGCAATTTTAAATTATTCCTCACTTTCCCTTTTATAGAACTGTGTGCCCTTAGTTAATTGCTACAGCAGGGAACAGTATTCAGCAGGTATATTTGAGCACATAATATGTGCAATTCCAAGACTTAATGTCATGAAATACGTATGCCTCAGTTTATCTGCTTATCGGGGATGAAGTTATATATATATAGCATGATTTGTTGAATGAGGACTGAAGGAATATGAATGGACTGCACTTCTGCTGGCATTAAG